AGAACTGTAGCTTAAGGCTTTTGCTTTGCAGGGCATCCCAACTGCATTAGGAGTGAAGCTGGAACAAACAGCTCAGAGCCAATTCCCCAGCTCTAGAGCCAGCTGACTCCTACTCCAGCCTCCAGCCCGCTGGGAAGCAGTGTTTCCTTGAGGGAACTGCAACTTTCAGTATAAAGCATCGATTTTATGCAATTCCTTTTCAGCCATGCTGACTTCCAGCTGCATAAACAAGCTGACAGCGCTGGATGTGTGTAGCCTGAGAAAGTTTAGGAATAAGCTTCAGTGTCAAGCCCAATCCAGCTGCCACTGAAGTTAAACTGGAGCAGGCCTTTATTATAACAAGAACAAAAATTCTAGGAGCAGGCAAGATGAGGATTTATTTTTAGACATATTATGTTAATATAGTCAAATGGTTTTACCATGAAGGTGAAGCTCTGAACTGGCTGGAACATTAAAAAACTCTTTAAACATGTAAGAAGTCCAAAACCTCTGAATGGCTGCATCACTTCTCTCTAGTCCTGGGAAAAAAACAGCCCTGTGATGCTAATTATGCTTCAGATGTCACTTAATACTCCCAGCTCTGTTTTGAATAGTAATCCTAAGCAAAACATTACACTTTGAGTGCTAAGATTTATTCTTATATTATTAATCAACAATAAATGACAGAGTATGGATTTAATTAATATGCATCTTGCTATTATAAAAATTTCTTCTGATCTGCCCATGCTCCAAGATGACTTTTTGTTCAAGAAAATCTTGAACTATAATCTAGCATTTGCTTCTATAAGTTTTCAAGAAGTTAACTGGAAGGAGAGAAGAAACAAAATCAAAAGCCAAATTTTAGTCTTATGACTGTGACATACTGGGCTTAAAAGAAAAAAAAAGCAGATGAGCGTACTGATATTTTTTCTCAGATTCAAAAGGCTGTTATTTTAAATATCAGCTGCAGATTAGTATTTTGGACGCCTTGTATCGAGAGAGGGAATAAGTTCACAAAGCTTAAAAAACACTAAAGCTCTTTTACTATGTCTCTGTAGCCACAGAAAGCAATGCCTACCCAGAAAACATATTTTACATTTTCAGGAATCAGGATCACTAAGATTTTACATTAAAAAGGGGCTATTTTATTTTTTTAAGGTTGACTATTTTTATCTTAAAGTTGAAATAAGATGTTCAAAACTCTTTTAAATTGTATTTTATGCTAAACTCACTGAGATGCTGGAGGGTTTTTTTCCACCTCAGTAGTTTCCTGGTGTGTTGGTGCAATTGGCCCCAATATTAAATAATTACAAGGAGCATAATTTTGGGATAAACAAGCTGTTTGAAATTGGAGCTATGCATACCAAAGGAATTGCTAAGTTTGACCTTCTTACTCAGTCTCGCCAAACCCCCAAAAGATCTTTCTTTATATAAAAGCAAAGTGTAGTGTTAAGTTTTGCTTGGCTAATTGATGCTCAGCTCCCTCAAGGTGCAGCACCCATCACACTTGGGCTTCTTTAAGAAAGGCCAGAGGTTTGATTCATGTGAGAGAAGAGCATGTGTGTGCCTTGGAACCAGACTTGTTCAGACAGAGCACCTGGACAAGTGGAACATGGAAACGCTTTTGTTCCGGACCTTTTTATACGGCTTCATAAAGCCAAGCTTGCCTGTCAAGAAAGTCAGTGAAGTCTCAAAATGAATGTAAGAAGCAAGCCCTGGTGCATTTTAGTTTTTTTAATCATCATCACTATTGTTTCAATGCACTGAAGAATTACCAGCTACTGCAGGGGCAGCTTTCTGATCCACTCCAGTTCCTTTATGCTGGGCTGCTGCCCTGTTTCCTAGCAACTTACTCAAACCTCCCATCACTTAAATTAATTTATGGCCCACCGTCTCCACACCCATTACTCACAGGGGAACGTATCAAAACTGACAAGAGCAAACCCCATAAGTTATTAATAAGACTCTGACACTTCGAATCTACATTACAACTGCAAGCTCCCTCTAAAACAATACTTTTAAAGCACCCCATTCTCTGCCCTTCCTCTCCTGCATGATGAATAAAGGCCTCTAATGCAATGCAACTATTTTTCACAAATGGCATAAGGGGGCAGCTTGACATGGGAAGAGGCTTTTTCTTTTTAATTTTTTTTAAGTAGTCAAGGCAACAAGACTTCTGAATGTTACTACTGACTCAAGCTGGAACATCCAAGAAAAGGCTCCCTCAGAGTAGAACACAATCCAGAGAAGGACATGAATTTTCAAGTGCAGTATGATTAACATTTTGGTCTGGCTCTTATTACCTCTACTATAATTTTCAGCTGAATGTATTCAAAGATACCCTCTCGTGATCAGCCACATGAGTAAATGCAATGCTAATCTCAAGCTCTTACTGAAGTCAACAGTATTCAGCCACCTAAAGAGTTTTTTAAGTTCTGAAATTTCAGCGTCAGATTAGAGCTGACTAAATTAAGTTTACTACTTTATCCGTAGAGCTTTGAAAATGCCTGAAATGATTTGTGTACACAATTTTAGTACAAATAAGAGCTTTGCCACATTAGATATTCTTTTGTTCAAATGCCATTTGGAAGTCACAATGGCTAGCATAAAAGCTGTGTCCTGTGGACGCTAAAGCTGGGAAGCAGGCTTGATAATTGCACAGGGACTATCATCAGCATCTCAAAAAGTGCATTTCTGCCTGGGAAAATGCAAGAGCTTATTCCAAAATTCCAGGCTTCTGAACCAAGCGTCTCAAGTTGTTGAGTTTTACCCATTTCAAAGGTTGCACGGGAGTTTTGCTGCTGCTGCTCCAGGATTCCAGTGCTGAATGAGATTCAGCAGGACAATAGAAGCATTTCTTTTACTAAGATGCAGGCAAGCTTAAGAGACTTCTCCCAGGGTCCCCAACCCCCAAACCCACCCTCTACACACAGATTTCCCTTCCCAACCCTATGAAGAGAGAGGCTGCTAGAAGGAACGTGTTTAGTTTTCACACCATTTTTATATGCATACCTATAGATTCAAGACAGTCAGATTACTGGGAGCTAGTTTAAAAAAAAAAATCCTTGATGTACCTGACTTCTCTGACAAAAGTCAAAATCTGCAACACAAGCACTGCAGCCATTGGCAGAGCTTCAAATACCTCAGATTTTTACAAAGCCCTTTATCCCTTTGATGGCATATTTGATAACAGTTTTATCTCATTTCATGTTAGGGGAAAAAAAAAGAAGAGAAAGAAAAGGGAAAGAAATAAAGGACAGACTTGTACTTCCAACAGAGAATACTTTTGTTAACTCTGCTATTGTACTCTGTAATCCTATCTCCTTAAAAACGGAGAGTTGATTTGTGCCCTGTGCCTCTGAGCCCTCGCTGTTCCCCAGTCCCGGCTGAGAGCAGAGGCAGGTAGGAGGCAGCACAGGACGCCTCAAGAGCGCTCGGCTGCCTGCAGCCCTTGGCGGCGGGACCACAAATGGGTGTCTGCACAAGGAATGCTTTGGGGCGGGCTTGCCTCCCCCCAGAAACAGCCCAGGCCCTCCCAGCAACCAGCCCTTATCCGACCATGGAGGGCCAAGCTTCGGAGGGTCCAGGCACGCTTCCACCTCGCCAGCAGCGATAGTGGCATAGGAAATGAGATTCACCCCTCCCCTGCATGCACATTCAGCGCTCTCCTCCCCTCCCAAAAATGACCTTAGGCATCTAGGTTAGGATGACTGGATTTACAAAACTGCTGAGCATCAACATACCCCAAGGCAGTTGGTAGGAAATTGTCTGCTCAGCGCCTTTGGAGAAGGGGTGTGTGTGGCAGGGGGAAACAGTTTTGTTTCCTAGGTGATCTCAAAATACAAGTTTTAGGAGCAGAAATTTGGGAGCGCTCGAGAGCCAGACAGGAGCCCCCCAGTGCACGCAGCGCTGCCAGGCACAAAAGCCACGCACCTCGTGCCACCCGAGGCCAGGCACTGTCCATGTCACACATCCCGGGCCCTGAGCCTGCCTCGCTGGGGCTGGCCTGCACGATGGGCCTTTGGGAAAGATGCTCCTCGCTTTCTCTGCAGGGAGCTGAGGGCTCCTCTGCACAGCTGGCCTTCAAAGCCTCAGCCCTCCTGAGCACCCCACAAGAAACAAGCAACAGCGATGTCTCAGTGCTTTTTACAGCCAACAACAAAGCAGGATCACCGACGAAGGAAGGGGTCCTCCATCCTCCATCTCTGCTCTGAGGGGCTGACCAGTATTTACTAGAGTGGACAAGGTGGAAAAGTGCCTGGCAAAAAGCTCCACCTCCTTGAGCCACCGAGTTTTGCACACAACTAGAGAGAAGCCACAATCTCTGGACCACAAGGGGCAGGTAGGCAGGAAAAGGTGTGCTTTGGGGAGGAGTGGGTGAAGTGCACCAAAAGCTAAAGCTTTTCTCAGTCTTCAGCCTCTGGAGTCCACGAGCACCTCCAAACACAGCCAGCTTCCCAGGGAAGCTGGCAACTACTGCACCCAGAAGAGCAACAGCAGCTCCCATCCACAGCGAGCAGTGCAGTGAGATTTCCCCCTGGGAGAAGCAGGAAGCCTCCCCAAACACGCTCCGGGGAAGGAGGCCAGCTATGACACACACTTTTCACACGGGATCCCTCTACAGCCCCTAACCCACTGCTCTTCTGGCTTAAGCCCAAGACTTCACTGGTTAAGAGAAAAATAAAGAAAAAAAATGAACTTCTGACCTTCTAAGTCTCAAGAGACTTATTCATGCTGTAAAGTGCAGAGATACTGGGTTTGCTTCCCTGACCCATTTAGATCCCCCTCACTGCATATCTGACTTTCAAATTTAACAGGCTGTGCATTGTGAGCCCCAGGGAACAAAAACAAAAACACCACTACATTTTACTCATTTCTGTGCTGCGGATTCCCGACGCTCTTGCCAAGATGCCTGCTCCCTCCCAAATCCCTCTTCCCCTGGCACAAGAAGTTAGAGCTCAGCTCACTAAGGACCATCTCAAGCATCATCCAACAGAGCCAGAGCAGTTCAAGCAACTCACCGGCCAGGCGAAGCTGAAGGGGATAACGATCCGGTTCTTTTCATTATTCCGGTTGTACTTTAAATTGAAGGTATTTCCTCCGATGACAGGAGTGGATTTGGATCCGAAGCTGCAAGGACCGCCAGCAGTGACCCGCGATTGATACTCCTTCAGACAAACTTTAAAATAGGTGTCACACTCGTCTCTGGTGCATTTTTTATCTCCTGGGTTTCGGGTGCCATCGCAGCAATTTCCATTTTGCAGTTCACCATTCACATTTTGCATGGATAAGATCTCCAACTCGAACTGTCCCGACGCTAAAGTCACCTGTTAATCCCAAGAAAGAACCGAGGGGAAAAAAACCAAAACAAACAAACAAAAAAAAAAAAAAAAAAAAAAAAAAAAAAAAAGAGACAGACAGTTACCTAACTTTTTTTCCCCCAAACACAATGTACAACAACACTGAAGACAGGAAAAACCAATTTTAAGTGTGCTTTCAAGAAGCACATGCATAATGTTAAAAATAAAGCTAACCACTCCAAGCTTTCCCGTATCAGACATCCATGAGAAGGGCTCATAAATCAGCCCAACTAAATAACGCCATTAATGCCAAAAAACAACCTTAAGTGCCAGCTCCGAAAAACCAGCGCGAGGAAGGCTTCCAAGCGGTTAGGAAATAAAACTAAACTAAACCAAGAGTGCAATACGCGAGGAGCAAACCCAGCAAAACGATGTAGTTTATACTGCAGTGCCTGCAAAGGCACCCAGCCACCCCTGTGCCTCCTCCGGGGTGCAGCTGAGCCGGGCACGGCCGGAGCTGCCCAGCTGAGACTCAGACCCCGCTCATTAATCACCCCAGCAGCGCTGCTAATAAGTTGATTAAAGAAAAATAGGTATTTAAAAAAAGAAAAATAAAAGGGGAAAAAAGTGATTTTTGGGGGAAAATTAAAGCGGTTTGCAGTAATCGCGTTTCTCGTTCCCAGGAATTAAGCCTCGCTGCAAGGCGCACTCCCGCGTTTGCCACCTCCAGAGAGAGGCGAGGGCAGCAGCTCCGCTCCGGCCGGAGGAGCCGTGCAGAGGCGCCCTGCGGGATCTCTCGGAGCCCTGTCCCCAGGCCCCGCGGAGGCCGTGCCCGGTACGTACCTGGGCCCGCAGCGCCAGGAGCAGGGTGAGGAGGATGGAGCACGCCGCCGCGGCTGCCCGCCGGGGCGCACGCATGCCGCCGCCGCCGCGCTGCCCGCCCGCCCGCCTGCAGCGCCGCCGCCGCCGCTCGCTCCGGGTCGGGACGGGACGGGGAGGGCCAGGAGGGAGGAGGAGAAGAAGGAGGCGGAGGAGCTGGTGGAGGAGGAGGAGGCGCCGCTGCTGCTGCCGCCGCTGCCGCCGCCCCGCTCTAATATACCGCGGCGCACCCGCGCCGGACAACGCCGCTTTTCAAGCGCGTTCAATAGCACCCCGCTCTTCAATGCAAAGCAGCCCGGCCTCCTTTTATCCGCCTTATTCTCTCGCCTCCCCTCTTTTCTTTCCCTTTCTTTTCTCTCTCTCTCCTTTTTTTTTTTCTTTTTGTTTTATTATGGCGATTATTATCCCACTCCTTTTATTTCTTGCGGCGGAGCCCCTGGCCCCCCCGAGACACACGCACGCACGCACACTCACTCACTCACTCACATTCACATTCAGACACACACGCACATGCAGCACACGCACCGCCCCGCAGCCGCCCGCCCGTCTGGGAGCGCCGCCGCCGCTCCGCTTCATCTAGCCCAGGGCGGCAGGCGCATGCGCCTATCCATATGCATGAGGGGGCAGCAGGAGGAGGGCGCGGAGGAGGGGAATGGCACGGGCCGGCAGGTACCGGCGGGAGGAGGCGGCGGGCATGGAGGGAGCTGAGGCTCGCCGGCTCCCCCGCCCGAGGGAGGTGGCGCGCCCCGGCCGCCCCGAGGGTCTGTCCCTCCGGAAGCGCCGCTCCGCAGGTGCTTCCAGCGCGACCTGGAGCAGGGGGAGCCGCGCTGCGGCGGCCCCGGCGATCCCTCAGCGGCGCTCGCGGCTGAGGGCTTTTCCCGCCCCGCCGCTCGCTGAGGGGACGCGCGGGTCCTGCCCGCCCGGGAGCCGCAGCCCGTTCCTCATCGCCTCTTCGGTGCCGGTGGAAGGAAAAACAAAGCACGAAGCATTTTGGGGGACACTTTTTGCGGTGTGAAATCTTTGCCCTGGCACTGGCCGGCGGCGGCCGCCCGCCCTTCCCGGCCCTCGGCAGCTGAGGCGGGGCGGGCCGCGGGCGCTGCCGGAGCTGCCAGGCGCGCCCTGAGGGGACGGGAAGCGCGGCCGGCCCGCGACTCTCAGGTAGCCCCGGCCGGCCGGTGTCCTGAGGGAAGCGGAGGTGGCAGTCGCCACCGTGCGACTCGTGCCCGCCTCGACACGAGGTCGCGGCGCCGAGGGCCTCCCGCGCTCCAAGTGGGAGGAAAGATCCCTCAGCTGATCAGTGCCGGTAGCACGGTGCTGGCAGAGTGCCGAGACCATCAGGGACCCTGTGCCCGCGCTGCAGAGGCTCATTCCAGTTTTCAGGTGGGTGCTGGTGTTGTTTTGCCACACATCCTTTGAGGAGCAAGGTCCAGAGCCACACAGCCAGGTAATTTACTTAAGGGACTCCCTGACACAGGTTACTGAGAAGCCCAAAAGTTTGCACAGTAGCAAAAAGAGTTCAGACTGGTTCCCAGAGGAAGAGGCACACATCAAAGGGCATTGAACAAAAAAAGAAAACCCAAAAAAACCCCACCCCTAACTTTGTCTCTGGTTTGGGAAGTCCCTGGGCTGCGGGTCTAGAAGTTGGGTGACTGTGCTGGGAACTCACTGCATCACTGTCCCTTTCTTCCTGAGGCACTGGCGACAGGAACTTGGCCTACATGACGTTCGGTCTGACCCAGAACAGCTATTCTTATGTCCCGATCTATTTCACCCTGATCTAACACAGTAGATGTGTGAATGTCTGTTTTATACACCAGAGTCAGTGGTACAGAGGAAAACAAGATTTCTGACCTAATTTTATATCCTTTGTTTTCATTTCCTATGGCAAAAGCAAGGGCCTGTTGTTGGCTGTGGTGAGGTCTGTCCCGTTATAGGGTGCCCCAGGCTGGAAAGCTGATGGTATTTGTGCCCCTCACCTTAGAACTGTGCTCAGATTTCACCTGACTCCTGCAGATCCTGTTCCCATCAGTGAGTTCACGGCTTGGATCACACTCTGGTGATTTTGGCATGCCTGTGAGGTGTGCAGGTGCCGGATACTCCTTCCAGCCTTGCTCAGCCCCCAGGTTCCAGCAGTGTTGGTTGTACCTCACTGGATTCATTAACTTTTCAAAGGCTGGTAAACCATCATGGTGTTTAATCTGCAACATGGCTGCAGTTTGGTGATACCAGTGCCTCTCTTCTTTTTTCCCAGTGCGTGTTGGTTAGATTCCACAGCCTGGTTAAATGTTATTCATTCCCAAGTGCCACACATCTGCTCCTCTGGGCCTTTAAACACCCTGCTGCAGCTGGTATGCTCCATACCTTTAGGGCAGGTCTGGAGTTGGCCTTTCTGTAAAAGGTTACTCCACCTGTTTGACTCCAGTGCTTAGGAAATCCAGAGGTCTCTTTCCCACAGTGCTTGTGACTCAGCAGTGTCGCTGCCCTCAAACAGAATTACTTGTCCAACAACTTAAAATGCTTTGCAAGCATTAATGAATTAAGTCTCCCAGTGTCTTGAGATGGAGAGTATTAGTGATAGGTAAAGCAAGGCAGAGCATGAGTCATGTGCAGAAGCGCATTGCAAACCTTCTCACTTGCAGCCCTGAAAGAAATGTTGACCTCATGGAAGTCAGCAGTAAAACCCCCCTAAACTTATTTAATCTAGAATTTTCCCCATGGAGTCCCACCTCTTGGTTTTTTTTTCCTCCAGACTGTCAGGAGCCCAGAGACCCAGTGGCCCCCTTGAGCACTGCACAGCACAGCCTGCAGCCACTGCACAGGTGCCTGCAGCCCGAGCATCTTTTCAGGATGCTCCCTTCAGTAGGGCCACAGCAACGTGCAAACAGCTGCGTGTGCACAGGCCCTGCACTGCAGTTGCTTGGAGCAGCCCGGGACCGGTGCACATCCAATCCCTGCTGCAAGGCTCTGCCTGCACGTCTCACGAGGTGTGGAGCCGACGTGCCTTCCTCTGTGGCTGCTGAAGAACTTTTCAGCATCTGGCACTGGCTTTTTACATTGCGTAAAGTTACTTCCTGCTAATCTTCCTATTCCGACATAATTAGATCACATCCACATTAGAAGCCCTTACAGACATGGAGTGTGCCAAAGCCCAGCGTTACAGGCAGTGCTTCAATTCAGGCTTTGGGCCTGGATCAGCTCCCTAATACAGAGCTGTTCATTGAGGCCACTGGGAGATTGCCCAGGACTTCGGTGGGAGCAGGATCACAGCCTTTAGAGGGAGTGTCTGGCTTACGAGGGTCAGGTGTCGTGAAGTCAATTCTTTGTGTGAGGAAAGTTGTAATTTCCTTTTAAAGCTCAGTGACTCATGGAGCCATGGCTGTGAACAATCCCACAGGATTTCCTTAGATTTGTGATACCTGAAGGTAAGCTTGGAATGGCTGGCGCCCCTGGAAAAGTTCTTCGTTCAGGGACCAGATACATCTCATTTTTGAGCCGGTGACTAAACTTTTGTTCACTACTGTAATGCAGATCAAGACAGTTGCATAATCATAGGGCACTGACACTGCATCAGCCTTCAATAAACTAGTTAAAGGACTACCAGAAAAGAATCTGTTGACATGTGGAATCTGTGGTCATAAAGAATTCATAAAGCTCAATGACCTCTTTTCACAGCAAATGAAGAGGCTAAAGGAGCCCTTTGTTCCTTCAGATTTTTATAAAAGTAGTTTTGCTCCTTGAAATTAGCCAATAAAATAAATTTGCTGCAGTGTTAGATGTAAGCTTGGACAAGCTGAGTGGAAGAGTGAAATTTCATCCACTCGGCTAATCCTTTATCTAGGAGTTAAGCTTCCCTGTTGCAAGGAGAGGGATGTATCGGCACAGTCAATCACGGATGAGTGAGCTTTTAGATAAGGCCTTTCCTATAATACACCCACAACACTTGATTTTCCTCTGGCCGTGGTAGCAGTGACCTGCCCACTTGGGTGAGTGTCGCGGAGCAGAGATAGGGACCGCGCCGTGCCGCTCGGCTGACACGCATTTCGGAGCAACACATTCCAGCAGATGAACCCATCTGCACAGTTGAGTGATCTAAACTTAGAAAGCTAATTTCTCTAATTACAAAGTGAGACTGAACTCCTGTAAAGCTTTTCATCACCTGAGTGGAATGGGAATTGCGCTTCCATAATCATTTAATGCTTAGAAACTAATTAGGAAGCATTTTGTGGGGAAGCCACACCCGGTGTTAGACTATTTCACAAATGGAGCAGGGGAGAGAACTACCACTGATGAGAAAGTTGAGCAAGTGGCAGAGGTTAGAGAAAGAGCACAGTCTACCCAGAGCTGAAGAGTGCATTCCCACTTCCATGAAAGATTCAGTTCTCCCCAGTCAGGCAATTTCTTAAAGCTGTGTCTTCAGACAAGCTTTCCAAATGTGACAAAAGATTTTGGAGAAGGAGATGCTCTGGTAACCAGAGCCCCAAATCCAGTTTGCTGCCACAAGACCTCACTTTCCCCTTTGCCTGGAGTGCTGCTTAAGACAACTAAAATTTAGAAGCTGCGCTGTGTTAATTGTGCATGTGCATTTTGTCAGTGTGGAATTCCCACCTTAGTTTTTTCTGTATGTTAGAAGTGTTTCATTCCCCAGAATGAAAGTGAGGCACGAAATCTATTTCAGAGGATACTCCGAGAACAATTTAATTAAAAAAAAAAAAAAATATTCTGGGGTACTCAGAAATTACTGCAGTGAGAACCAGTAAAGTCCCTGAAAGAGTTAAAGCTGTTGTACCAAAAAATACATCTGTTATAGAGCCTTTATGTTTTATCCAGCTGTAATTAAGTGAATCCATAACATTATTGCTTTCTGTCACAGCTTAAAATTGAGACCTTACTCCATTCCAGAGAATATTGCTGTTTTTCCTTCAGTTTCCTTTATTTATATGCACATAAAACCTGCTCTGTGGCTGTTTCTCTGTTAACCCTTCAAGGATCAGATGCCTCCACATTAACCTGTGGATCCAACTGCTTTGTCCTTCACTTATCCTCCCC